CAAGATTTAGGAAATTCTCTAAAAACTTCTGAAGGCAAGCTTCTCATTCTGAGTAACCCTTCTAAGGGAATGAAGAAAGATGCCCATTATAAAATATGGCACTCCCTCCCTTCTTCCCTCCCTCTCACCAATTATTTCTATTTTTTAACTACACAAAAAAAAAAAAAAAATTACTTCAGGGTTCAATATAACTAAGTAATAAAGGTTATTAGATTTATAGCGCACAAGCTAAAATCAAAAAAATAAAAATTATGCAAAATAAATACAATAGATTTAATTACACTGAATATTAAATTTATAAAATTGAACAATAAAATAAAATAATTGTGCCTCAAACCAAATATAATATTCTACTTTCAAACATATTTTTGACTCAAACATACTGCCTCAAAAACAAGCCATTCAAACAAAAACTTGATTAAAATGAAATTTTGGTAATAAAAGTAAAAAAAATAAAGAGAATTGGCTCACAATATCTCTCACGACCCAACCTAGAGCTTGGTAGTTACCGGGACGAGAACAGATGGTGGGATATTGGAATTAGGCTTTCTTTATTTCTAGTTTTATCACTAACAGTTTAATAAGAAAAAATTATTTAAAAGAACCACTAAATAAAACATTTTAATTAACAAATAAAAGTTACCTTTCTGGTTGCTGACCTCTTCTTCTGTGCACGTTATCTCCTCAAATATTCATTCTATTTAATGCTTAAACCTAGAAAATATTAAAACAATAGTAAGCTAACTAAAATTAGTGAATACTCATACTCCTAAGTTACAATAACATAACAAAAATAAAATGATATGCATGCTGGTGAGAGATACTACAAATCAATATAAAAATAATAGACATTTGACATTTTTCAGATATGATTTTTTACAATAGCATATAACACTAAATGTGTTTTAATCTATCAATAACATGTTTATATTATTTTATATCAGTACAATTGTTATAGGAGCATCGCCTAAGAATGTGCCAATTAAGATATATCAATATAAATAATTTTTTTCAATTTACATGCACGAGAAACTTAGCAGTCTCATGTTAATACCATAAAGAGATGAACTCCATCATTGTCAAGCATACACATACAAACATATTATTAAAGCTCTATCTAATAATGATTATTTCATTCTTAAATGCATAGCAGACAACAAAACTATATAACATTCAATATTTATAATAATTTAAATAATATTTAGTACATATATTATTTCTATAATATGAACAAAAAATTCAATTGAACAATAAATCACTAGTATGCAGTGATTTTCAAATAATTAGTAATAATAATAGTAAATGCATTTGGTCCAGAATAAACAAAATATTATTATAGCATAAGAACAAGATTGCCCACTTTAATATTGTATGACTTGCCTTTAAATTTTCAATCTTTAATTTTAACTCCACCTTCTTCAATTTTATACCCATAAAATATTCACAATAATAAATTAAATGCTTATATTGTCATTTTATACATAAATCATGCTCAATTATTTGATTTAATATATACTAATTCATTTAAATCATAATATCTAAATTTCAATTTATTTTATTGTTATCTTTTTTAACATTATACATACAAATACATACATACATACATATATATATACATGCATACATACATATATATATACATGCATACATACATATATATATACATGTATACATACATATATATACATGTATACATACATATATATATATATGTACATACATATATATACATGTATACATACATATATATACATGTATACATACATATATATACATGTATACATACATATATATACATGTATACATCGA